TTATTCAAGGGTTAATATTAACAAAACCGTGGATGCTGTCTATTTTTAATTTCAGGTTTTCATAATAGTCCACGGGTCCAAAACAAAAAAAAATGTCAATTTGGCATAAACACATGGAATGTTATGACCAACACTTTTTTAAAGTTTAAATAAAATATATATATTTTTAAACCCCCGCCCCAAACAATTTTTCCGACAAAAATGTTGGCATTTTGAGTTTGTCCCTCACCCCAAATATGTCGATTTGGTGACATTATGGTTGGTGACAACCAGCAAGCTGATTTTTCTGGGAGGGTTTGGTAATAAGATTTGAAATGAAAGTATCTTATTGTCCGACAAAATTCTTGAGAAATTTTTGCAGTCCGACGCCCCCGTAGATGTCAGTTTAACGACAACATGGTTGGTTATAACCATCTGTCGGACATTATTTAAAAAAATGCAATATTAATCTGAGAATTTAATTGTCCGACAAAATTATGGTTTTTTTTTGCTTGTCCGACAAAATGAAACGATAAAATTTTGCGGTTTCAATACTTATACATGATGTAGAAGAAAAATTTGTATTTAATAAAAAATATTTGACTAAAAAAAATTTCTCAAATTTCAAAATAAATATGACTAATTTAAATTCATGTTTTCATACAATTACAAAAAAATGTATATATGCAATATCAACATTTAGAAAATTAATTAACACAACTCAAATTGCTGCATTTCAATCGTACCTTATTAAGTGGATAATGCAGAATAATATTGTCAAAACCGAATAGTAAATATTAAAAATTGTTAATTAATTTGTTATATGATCAATACTTGGACGTGGTTATTTCAGAATGACTTTTTCGTTTATTGAAAAAAAATAAAAAAATTCTTATTTTTTTACGAAAAAAAATTATAGTACCTATATGTATTATATAATAACAGTTTAATAATCTTCTTCGTCCTCTTCGTCGGCAGTGCTGTCATCGCTCTCGCTCATTGAGCTTTCTTCGCTCTCTTCAGCCTAACCAGAATTTACATTAATTACATCGGAATCTAAAAAAAAAATTGAAATAAAATTTACATAAGTAAATACATACATACGTACATGTTGCAAAGGTTCAGTTTGTGATGTAAAAATACGTATCAAAAGATAATTCTCCAATTGAAGTGCTTTCCGGACCATCAAACCAGTAATGTGCGTATTTATTATCTATTATGGTCCAACCGCAATCTTCCGGATACCATTCAGTTGGTGATCGTAAATGGGTAAGGTTGGATTCCATTACCACGTTGGATTCTTTGAAAAAAGAAATAGGGAGAACGTGCGGTGGAATCAAAATATTTTTAAAATTGGTTTAATTGGTTTTTCAAGAACAAAACTATGTGTAAACTGTTTGTCAAAAATTTATGCATTCATTTTACATTTACCATTTTTTATAAAATAAAATAAAATGTACATATAAGTTTTTTGAACATAGAAATCATTTTGATGGAGATTAATTAAATTAATTTTTATAAACATAATTATTTATGAATTTCTGTTGCTCCTGTTAACAAGATAATTTTCTTCTTTATTCTTCTTTATTTGTTCATTAAAAAATTAATTATTTTATAGCGGAATGAACATTAGGTGCCACAAAAATAGTTATTTTTCCCATTTTTAAGGCAAATTTTCCAATCTTTTTGGCGGACAAGTATATTATTGTGTTATACATTAAAATTGTTAGAGAAAAAAATCAAAACCAAATTGCTGGTTATCACCAACCATATTGTCGTTAAATCGACATCTTCGGGGCGTCGGACTGCAAAAACTTCTCAAAAATTTTGTCGGACAATAAGATACTTTCATTTCAAATCTTATTACTAAACTCTCCCAGAAAAATCAGCTTGCTGGTTGTCTCCAACCATAATGTCACGAAATCGACATATTTGGGGTGGGGGACAAACTCAAATTTACAAAATTTTTGTCGGACAAATTTTTTGGAGGGTTTAAAAAAATTATCTTTCATTTAAACTTAAGAAAGTGCTGGTCATAACACTTCATGTTTATGCCAGATTGACATGTTTTCCTGAAAATCACGGGAAAACTTACCACTGTTGAATGTTTCTCGTAGTCAAATCTTGGGTGGCTCGTCAAACTTAAGCTGCACGCAAAATTACAGGTTGCTGGTAATAATTTTTTTTGTAAGTGGGCCCGTGGACTATAATTAGTAGGATTTTCCCAGGCATTTTCACTACAGTATGAAATTATATATTCCTGTACTGCATTTACCCCATAACATTAACACCATCAAATGATTTTAATTGTCAGTGTTGAAAGAAACAACTACTCCGAGGGCTAAATGCACTTACCGACATTGATTTATACCCGCAACACCTAGTGCAACAGCTAGGATCGTTCGTCATCATCAGTTTAACCCACCAGACAAACCGGTTTCGGACATATTAGTCCTCATCAGTGTGCCATAGGTGAGACAACCGACGAACGATTCAGCTGTTTTGCGTCGTATCATCACGACAAGGAAATACATTGTACGCGGGAGCGTATCAGCACGACAGATGGAGCTATTTGCGCTCCGCGTACAACTATCAAATGATAATAAAAAAATATATCGCCGTACATTTGCATGGAATATACAAATAAATTGCATAAATTGTATACACAATAAAATGAAGAGATAGTGTTTCGTAAATTCCAAGAAGGTAGACCAATAAAACTAAATTATGTTAATCAATATATGTTTTAGAATTTAATCTTTTTCAATGCAAAAACTTTATAATAATAAAAAATAAATTTTGGCAAAACAAACAAATTGAATTGTAGATGTGCGTACACTTCTTAAAAACTTTTGCACGGAAAAAAATGCAGTTATATGCAAACGTTTTTTGTTTAGAACTTTGGGAACTTTTTCCCCGATGCCACGATATTTATACGCTAATATTTTTTTTATAGTTATTTTTTAATGAATTCGAAAAGTGCACCAATGCCGTACAGGAACTTTTCACTAAAATATCCATCCCTTGAGCGGAAAATTCATTTCCCTACTGTGACCTCATGTGCTATAAAAAATGTACGGCATAATGATTTGAGGTATAATTTTATATAGCTCTTTCTAAATTTTTAATTTTAGAGTGCCTCTAAGAATTTTCCTTATTCTACGTAGAAGGTAAGAGCTGGGTAAGGGTTAGAAGCCCTTAGAGCCAGTGCATTCGTACGGCATAGTAAAATATAACTTTCAAATAAACATCTTTATTTAAAATCAGGCACGTCGTAGGGGTGGAAGTCACATTTTTTTCTTTTGCTCTTTTAGTGCCCATATACTTAGTTTAGCCAGAACATTTATATATCGATGGATAGTATGTTCATTCTAGTTTAGAAAGAAATAAAGACTTTTCCTCTAACATTATTTATTGAGAAAATATTACAATTTTTCTGAAAAAAAAGAGAAGTGTGACTTCTAACCCCATGTCAGGGATGGTTGTCACAGTGTCTGGGGTAGGTAGTCGCATAATAAATTAAGAGGAGAATATAAAGACAAACACTTATTTAAATCATATGAGTATTTTGATGAAACATAAAATATACGTAACTAATTCTGCCAAAAAATAAAACGAAAAATTTCTTATTTATAATAAAAAAATAACTAAAATTCGCTTTAAACGAATAACTTCCAGTCTAAAAAATCAATCTGAATATTCAGAGTCACAGTTTTGGCAAATGTAATTTGAGAGACCAGGTGTATATGCTTCGTGCGCCCATAACTTACAATCCTGGCACTGAATCCAGACTTCTCTAGACTTGCTAGCGGAATATGGAGACAAGCAAACCAGGCAAAACTCTTCATCGTCTGTTTCATTTTCGTCATTGTCAACTGCTTTCTTTTTAATTTTCTTTCCTTTAGAAGCCTTTTTATTTTCCTTATTCTCACTCAACACACGTTTCGATTCTTTCTTCTTCTTCGCTTCTTGTTCCTTTTTTTTTTCTATTCTAAATAGGTCTTCTCCGGTATATTTGTTAGAATTGCTGATATACATTTCCTTTTATCAGCTCGCTGCGACTTGCGCGGAGGAGCTTGTGGTAGAGGTTTCAAAACTTGCGGCGATACTATCAGAGAACTCCTTAAAACACTTGGACTAGGACTAATGATCGCCATAGGTTCTTTTATAGCTTGATGCTGCAGCGATAGCTCTGGCATTTGGCAGCCTGTCAAATCTTGTGGTGCCATTACACGAACATTAAGGCCGGAGTTATCATTTTGTGCCAATACAGGGTCATTAAGGCTAGGAGCATCATATGGAGTCGTAGCAAGTTCATTATGGCCAGTATTATGATCTTCTAGCATTGTACGACGATTAATATCAAAGTTATCGTTTTAATTTTCTGCGACGTTGTGTATAATTTTGTCATCAGGAACCGTAATTAGTGATCTATTCGTGACAGACGACGGCATGAAATCGTGCTCTTGAAATATGTCCCGATTAAATGGACAAACCCACAGGTTTTAAACCCTGTGAGAATCAATCAATGGAGCTGCTGCCAGCGGAAAAGCCTGCGTAATTATTCCTGGTATTTCATATATTGTCATTTGTTGTCCTGGATGATTTACCATCCATTAATCCATTGCGTTGTTAATGTATTTTTTTTAAAGGTCCATAAACCGACCTGTCTAACGGTTGCAGTGTGCAGTGTGGTGGGAAAGATAACATTATTATGTCATTTCCTTTCGCAAAGTTTAGTCCTTCAATGGATAGGTGGAAGCTGTGATTATCTAACAGCAAGAGACATGGTTCTTCCTTAGTTGATTTCACGTGGTTATGAAAATGTTTCTAGAAATCGACGAATAGCTCTTCTGTCATCCAGCCCGAAGGATTACTTCCTCCTTTGCAGCCGACTGACCCATCTCTGATAAAATGGTCTTTGAAATGCACCCTCGGAAAAACGAAGAATGGTGGAACTGAATTATCACCTCCCGACACAGCAGCAGCTAGGGTCACTAGTGTACCTCTCTCGGCTGAGGTTATAGCACAAACTTGCTTAAATCCTTTTCTTTATTCGGTTTTTGCACCGTAGCCACCCCAGTTTCATCTATGTTCCATATGTCGTGTATCTGAAAACTATATTGTTTCATTACCGATTCGAGGTTATCAAAAAAACTTCTGACATTATGTTGGTTGAAACTGGTGACCCGAGCCAAACTGGTGGCTTCAGGTGTTCCAATGGACAGAGAAGGGTGTCTCTTCATAAATGACGTAAACCAAACGGAGCCAGCTAGCTTGTTCGATTCCCAAGACTTTGGAACTTTCAAGTTATTACAAATGGCAAGCTCGAATGCTATTTTCCGAATAACCTTGGGAGTCAACCCGAAATAAATACTTGAAGTGAGAAATATGTATTGTTCCAATTCTTCCTGTTCATCGGTAAAAATTTATCGATTCCTTTGGTAGCCTATTTTTGTAGATGGTGTTGATACTGTCGTGTTGCTTATCTCTTCGCTAGTAAATTTTTTACAATACCTTATTAAAGTGCGATAATTATTGCCAAAATCCCTCGCGACAGACCTTATAGATTTGTGATAGTTTTTCACTTCTCTAGCAGCACGCAGCATCAATGCTGGTGAAACAAGCCCTCGAGAAGACTTTCTCTTATGATGCCTTGACATTTCTATAACTAGGTCTGAAACAAGCAAACTTTTATGTAGTAAAATCCCAAAAAGTCAACAAGAAAATGCAATACACAGGCATGGGCCCATGTCAACTTGAGACAACCTGCCCCAAAACACGTTTTAGAATATAACGTCTCAAAATAAATTTAAATAAGTGTTTATTTAAAAAGCCATATCACGATATCATGAAACACATATATAGCATCATAATATGCACCAAGATATATTAGTATGCAAAATTTCAGTATATTTACGAGACTCGATACAGATGCACAAAAAATTACTTTTCTGTCATGGCCGCTGTGACAACCAACCCGTGAGACAACCAACCCCGGTCCCCCCTAGAGTTTTCTATAATTTTTACATTAGTGAAAATATTTGGAAAATGGAAATTTTTTATTCTTTCCAGAACCGTTATTTTTGTACGGCATAAGGTTTTTATGTCTTACTTTTCTAATATCTGTCTTGGGTCGAAATTCCGTCAATTTCTATTTAATTAATTTAGCCGGTCCAAAATTGGAAAGTTTGATTTTCTGCTGGCAACCCATGTGCCACGGAGAATTGACGGCATAGAGCTCAAATATTTTCTTTTAGGTTGTAGTATTTAAGTCATAGACTTTTATGGTGCCTAAAATGATTAGGAAAATTTTCCTAATAGGCTCTTAGTCGAAGTTAGCTTTGCTTGCTCGGAGACTGATTCGGAACTGGTTTCTGGATCAGTCTGAATTGAATTTATATAAAACTCTTATCTGTTATTTTGTTGATATGAGGTTTTTATATTGTACAGAATATTATTGTTATGCATGTTGCTCGGAGACTGATTCGGAACTGATTTCTGGATCAGTCTGAATTGAATTTATATAAAACTCTTATCTGTTATTTTGTTGATATAAGGTTTTTATATTGTACATAATATTATTGTTATGCATGAAAAGAGTGTAACTAGGAAAAATAATAAATAACCATGATAAAGGTGTTTTTCTGTTATTGACGGTGGTTTACCATAACTGTCAGTAAAAATTTTTGATACAAATTGACCTATAGATGGCTTCACTAAGGAAATCGCACCCGCCTGTTGTAGTTTCTGTACTAATTGGCTTATAACTGACATTTCTTTAGGAGACCATTTATTTTCTATGGAAATAACTGTTTGCCGAGGTTTTTTAATTAATGGAATCTGTAATCCTTTTATGTAAGATGACAGTTTCTTATTTATTGGTAACATTTGCCATTTGTCAATAAAAAATTTTAACCGATCACATGCGTTACTGACCTCTTGATCTAACAACGACGACGCCGCTGATCGTTCTGGTGATTTCCTTAGAGGTTGATGTGTGTTCGAGGTACTATGAGCGGAGTCCGACGGATTTGCCGCCCTTTCCGGACTCCATATCCTTGTGAATGAGGGGTTTTGGAGTTTCCCGCCTGAACTTTGGGAACTGACACCTTTGTCACGGTCTTATTCATTTTGTTATGCGGCTTGAGCTGCTGTCCGGATTTCTCCAAATCCTTAACCGCCCAGATTCTACTATCCAAGTCGGTTCCAAAAAAACAAATCCCCAATGGGAGTGTCTGTTAGGGTTTCTTTTAATTCTTTTTTTAGATTTATGGCGGGAAATCGACTCAAAATGGTGAATATTGGCCAACAACCGACCTGCATCATGTAAGCGCTGAATATTGTTGCTTTGTTGATATTAGTCTCCGATAACAGATTTGTTAATACCAACCCAATAGCCGACAAATTTGCCGCTACCTGTTCCTGAAGTGCTATTAGCCTGTCGTCTCTACAGATGATTGTATCTGAAACTGCAATGTTCACTTCTGGATTGGTGGTTTTAATAGAGGGCCGTTTTCTGGGGGTAAATATTTGCCTAGCAGGGTCTTCTGAATCGTATTCTCCAAACCTGAAGCCAAAACATGCGCCTAACTAGCAGCAATTTGGGCCTGAATTGGCGCAGCAAATGATTTTTTAGTTTCCTTGGCGCTACCAATTATCGACAATATTTCCTCCTGCAAAACTATTGATGGGGTAACCCCATCATTACCATCACCCTTAGATTTTTCTGTATTTTCTGAAAGTAAAGAAGTTTGTTGGTTAATCATATAACCGTACGTACAATATAAAATTTCCTGTTATCCCAAACAGAAACTGAAACAATGACCTTCTAGCGATATTATACCATCAGCACTTAAAATCTGTCTTTAGATTTCTAGTGTAAATTAAAAATGAACCCGATTATCACTAACTCCGTTGCCCCGAACGGATATATGGTATCTGTTATCCCAAACAGATTTTAAATTTCAAATTAAAAAATAAAACCTGTTATCACCAAACAGGGTAAATTCCGTTATCCCAAACGGAGACAAGGCAATTATCTGTTATCCCAAACAGATTAGCTCGTTGTCTGTTATCTAAACAGATTTGGTACCCCCATATTCCCCGCATACGGCGTATGATTAAGAAAAACCATTAATTTTTACTTACCGGATACATAAACTTCTATATTTGTCGAATTATATAGGTCCGCCACTGGTGCGGGTGACTTCTCCCTCTCAGAGTTGAATCTGGACCTAATCAGAGCGCGAAACCGATATTTTTAACGCAGTCTTTAACATTTTTTGAAAGTAGATTTACTTACATATTTCATCAGCTGCCCAACCTAAAAATAATAATTTTAAGTTCTGCTTTGAATTCAGACAAAATCTTACTTCTTATTTGTATTTTTTCTTCTTTAATTGTGTTGTCCATGTATCTGAATCTGAATCTAAAAAAATATTGTTATAAAAACTCAAAAAATCATAAGGATAATAAAAGTATGGTAGAAAACTAAAATAAATCTTCTTACCTTTTTCCTGTACTGGTTTATGTTCTGTGTTTTAAAGGCATTTCGTAATTTGAATCTCAAAATAAGTTGTAGATATACACTTGAAAACTCAAAAGATTATAAACAGGATTTGATCGATCACAGGCATAAGAAAATGCAGCTAAGAAATTGAAAGCAAAACTAAGAAGTAAATTAAAATGTATAATCTTACCTTAATTACAAGCACGCTCATGAATTGAGTGTGGTGTATCGGTGCTAGTAGAATTCAAAGCAATATTTAAAAAGTCATGTTTTGATTTTTTAGATTTCGAAAAATTTCCTAAAAATTGAAGCATTAACAGTTACGTAGCATTTCGCAAAACATCTTTCTTTACTTCCATTATTAACTTTAGGATATTCTGTGTTCTCGTCAAAGTCAATTTCGGATAATGATTTCCCCGTGAATCAGTAGGTAAAGATCTGTTTCCATCATAATCAGCAATTTGGAAGCTTTAGCTGTTTGGTATAATATGTCAACTGGTAACCTTAAAAGTAATAGTCATTTAACTACCAAGTCAATCGATACGTTTGATAAACTACTAAGTAAAGTTCAAGATCGGTTAAAAAGGCAAACTACAAATTTCAGGAGGCCAATTTCACCAGAAGAACGATTGGTAGTAACTTTAAGGTAAGTATGTGAGTCTATGTATATATAAAGTGTGGCATAAATATTTTTGGCGATATTTTAGAAATTTATAATAATTGCTCGAACAGATCTGTATATACAGGGTATCCCAAAAATCAGCGTAATCCCTTCTAGGACTGATAGACCAGCTCATGACTGCTCAGAATATCAAAATAGGACGTTAGTAAAAAGTCATTAGATTTCGATATATTAACGCTTTTACGAATTTCGTGAAAACCGTCAACTTAGATCTATTTTTCGAGTGACATAAACCCAAAATTCCATATTTTAAGGTTACAAATTTTGTTGTACAATCCTGAATAGGCCTGCTATTGATCACAGCTCAAAGTCAAAGTAATAGTGCCATACATTTGGGAAAAAATATTTTTGCCTGATTCAAGAGTAATTTATTTTATTTAAGTGTTTTCATTCGAATTCCTAATTATTGAAATAATATCACAATGAGCTCCTTTTGCACTAAACTAGCAATATATATTTTTTTCTAAAGTAAAACAGCAAATGTAATACCATTTTGAAAACTGCACTAAATGAGCAATTTTTTAAAATACTTGCCAGGTTAGCGTGGTACATTTTTTTACAGTATGAAGTCGAAGTCTATCAAAAAAAATTAACTCCTGAATCGGAAAACATATTTTTTTCCAAATGTTATGTTACTATTAGTTTCAGTCTAAACTGTGCAGGGCTATTCAGGATTGCATAAGAAAAAGTATAAACTTGGTATATGGAATTTTGGATCTGTGGCACTCGAAAAACTTATCTAGTGTCGATTTTCACGAAAGGTCATATTTTGATATTTTTGGCAGTCATGAGCTGGCCTATCAGCCCTTCAAGGGATGACGTTGATTTTTGGGACACCCTGTATATTAATTAAGGTTAATAATAAAAGAATCAGCTAATATTTTATTTTTTATTTGGTTCATGACTACAGTTTCAAAGTTCGTACAAACTATTAAGTTCGCGTGAATTATCAGGAAGTGAATGAGATTGTGGGTTTGAATGGCAAAATGAATGAGAAGGTGGTTGAGAATCTAAACGAAGAGAAAAATGAAGAAGTGATTGAGACAGAGAATGTGGCAGTGACTGAGGTAGTGGTTGAGGTAAAGTAGGCTGAAGTTCGTCAATTATAACTTGTTGTATACGATTCCGAATTTTTAGTTTTTGGAGCGAACTTAAATTCGCGACGTGAGGAATTAAACTCATGAAAAAATAATAATCATCAGACTTATCATCATCTCGAGAAAGAAGTTCCATCTTCTTCTGTTCAATAGTTACTAACTGCTCCAAATTTGAATTTCTCTTGCGTTTTCGAGTTAAAACGGAGTTTGGTGAAAATGTGTATCTTGAGTAGATGCGCTGGATGGTCTTGATTCCTCAGCATTGTCTTCAACAGTATTGCCATCGTCAGAAGAATGTTCTATGATGACATTATGTAATCCACTATCTACCTGGGAATCCAAGTTCCCCGTCATTGTTCTACAAGTAAATTGATCTTTTACGAATTCCATTATTTCAAAATAGGGCCACTTTGGTTTATGCGTAGTTCCCTCAACCCCTGAGCGTGACTTTGGTATTTTTGATATTTGTTTTCTATATGAATCCTTCAAACTTTTCCACTTGTCTTTCGCCTGCTGTTCTAAAAAGATATATGGCCCTGAGAAAATCTAAAGCCCCTAATAGGTATATGTAATTTGTTAGCTGACTGTTTTGGAATATTTCTCATTATTACCTTTTTTTTAATCATATGTCATTTAAATAATAATTGATTATCTGCATCTTTATTTGAACTAATATAAAACAGTTCTACGATTACCTACTACAAAATTACCTATATATTTTTACTTTTCAGATACCTATCAACAGGAATGTCGTTTCGAGGGTTGGCCTTTTCATTTCGTATGGGCAAAACAACAGTTGCTTATATTGTAATTCAGACATGTATAGTGATTTGGGAGGAACTACAACCTCTAACAATACCTATACCAACTAAAGATCATTTAAACATCTCAATTACAAAATTTTGGCATATTTGGCAATTTCCAAATTGCTTTGGGGCAATTGATGGGAAACATTGCCGCATAAAATGCCCAGCACATTCTGGATCTACTTATTACTGTTACAAGAATTTTTTTTCTTTAGTATTACAAGCTGTTGCGGATGCGGAATATAAATTTATTACTGTAGAGATTGGCGGAGCAGGAAAGCAAAGTGATGGTGGTACATTTAGTAATTCTACTTTAAATTCATTATTAGAAAGTAATAATTTTAATGTACCAGAAGATAAACAATTTCCAGGTACGAATATCATAGTTCCTAATGTTTTGGTAGGTGACGAAGCCTATCCACTAAAAAAATACTTGATGCGCTCGTATCCTCGACGACAGTTAACTAGAGAAACTCGTTACTTTAATTACAGACTATCAAGAGCTCACAGATGTGTCGAATGTGCTTTTGGAATTTTATACACCAAATGGCGAATTTTGGCCAAAGAAATAGAAACAACTCCCGAAAACGCCTGTATTATTATTAAAGCTGCTTGTATGCTTCACAATTTTATAAGAAATGAAGACGGCGTCAATGATCCAACATTCCGTTATATTGTACAACGGGACGTAACGCCAGATATTCAGCCAAATCATAATGATGGAAGGGTAAACAATAGGTATACATCAGAGGCTAAGATTATTAGAACAAAATTTATGGAGTTTTTCCCAAAAAAACGCTTTAAATTAGGTAACCAATTATTTGTAATAAAGCAATAAATATATCGAAACATTAAGGTTATGTTATTTACTTACTGTTAACACCAAAAATATTGGCAACTTCTTGCCACAGTTTATCTATTACATCTCTATTTGAATGGTTTTTGTTACTTGTGTCCCAAATAGCACGTCTACTTTGAATTTCTGATATCAAAATTTCGATATCCATGTTGCTGCACAACGCGTTAAAAACAAACTGATTTGTATTTATGCGGCATAGCTCAGCGCAGCGGAGCACGCTTCACGCCGTACCGCATTAAGTTAGGCCACCTGCATTCAAATACATTGTTTTGAAAATAAAGCGTCTCTCAGCGCATCAAGCTCCGCGCCGCATAGCTGGCAGTTAGGCCGTACACTAACTCTTGCATGCGTACTGCCGGCTCGGCTCGGTCCGTTCCTCGTCATCCGTCGCCAACCGTCATCGCATTCGTCCGTCCCCTCTCCAGACACTGAACACTGCAACGTGTAGAACTGTAGGCGCAGAGATCTGCGGCGAGCACATGCGCGGCATAGAAATGTTCGTTTCCTAACATGCCCCCCGCCTTGAAAGTACCAACTTTCAACACTCTACTGGAAGAGGACAAAGTCTGGAGAAATTGCGACAAAGTAGTAACTTTGTCTTTGGTTTTCACAGA